AGAAGACCGCGAGACCAGACAATCTTGGGCTCGGCGGTGCGCAACCAAGGAAAGCCAAGGATAAGTGGTTGATGTGGAGACCTGATCACATCGAACCGAAGGCGTTGCGAGACGTCCCCGAGAATCACCTCGAGTGGAGCAGTCTCGCGGAGGATGGGGCCAGACGACAGCGGCTTACCATCCACGCCTTCCACTGCCAAGGGCGAAGCCTTGGAGCAGGTGGGGACAGAGTGTCGAGTAACAAAGTCCTCGTCGATAAAGTTGCCAGAGGCACCAGAATCGACAAGTCCTTCGCACGACAGAGAATCACCAGAAGGAAGACGAACAGCGACGGGAACAACCAACGAGCAACGACGAACAGACGAAACACAAGACTTTGGTTCGGTACCAGCTTCGGCACCAGGGTTGCGGCTAGCACAGACAGTTAACTTTGCCGAGGGTTGGCAGGACAGCTCAGGTATTTGCACCTGTGGATGAGGTGCAGTTCCCAGTGACACCAGAGGTGCCACGGGTACTATGCCAGAGCTGAGAGTGTCCGCCGGTCCAGAGGCAAGGCGAAGCTGTCCGCACATCACTGCTTCCCCAGTACTTACCAAAGGCACCTTACCAATGTCTTCACTTTCGGAAGGCGGTGGGCACGGCTCCGGTTCAAGGCCTTCACTTAGAACCGGGCCTGGTCGTTTCCCGAACTGAAGTCTTGCACTTCTCCATCCTCGTAAATGATGGTGCGGATGATCCTCGGGCCGGGAGGTCCAGGGGGCGGTCCGGTAGCTCTGGTAGATCCAAACTTGACGGGGCAGTTTCGTACCAAGTGGCCCTTCTTGCCACAGTACAGGCAGAGTCCAAAGCGGCGGCGGCGTTGTTTCTCCTCGGCGGTCAGGGGTCCAGAGACGGCAGAGTCCACTTGCATGGGCTCGGAAACAATGTAGGAGGGGTGCGGCGGAGCGAGGACGGGCGCGGGAGCGATGGCGGGAACGGCAGCGGAGGCGGAACCAAAGGCGAACTGGGAAGACCGGTAGCGGGCAGGCGTGCTTCGGCGCTCTTGACGGCGCTCGCGGATTCGTGCATCGAGCTCGTTACAAAGCTCGATGTACTCCTCCAGATCTCGTGGCAGAGGGCGAACTCGCGAAAGTTCGTCTCTGACATCATCCGACAAGCCAAGTCGGAAGAACGAGATCTTTGCACCGTCGTTCCAAGTCGTATCGGCGGCAATACGAAGGAACTCGGATGCATAGACTGCGCACGGGCGGTTGCCCTGAGACAGTGTGGTGATCACTGACTCGGCAGTCCTGGCCCGATCAGGGTCGTCAAACACTTTGGAAAAGCGTTCTAGGAAATCGCCAAAAGAGTTGAGTCGGGGATCACCCATCTCAAGCATCGGAGTCGCCCACTGGAGAGCCGGTCCAGTGAGCAGACTAATGACGAATCCGACCTTAATCGGGTCAGCAGGGAACCGGTGGGGCTGCATTCGTATATACAGTTTGCACTGATTTACGAATGCCCGGAACCCTTGCCGGTTACCGTCGTAACGGTCCGGCATCTGCACGCTGTACCCAGCGGCAGGAGCATCGCGAGCTGTCCGGAGCTCGGCGAGCTCGGCCTCCAAGGCACGGAGGCGGTCCACGAGGGCAGGATCCATGGCGGGACTGGGACTGGGACTGGGACTGGGACTGGAAAAAAAAAACGAGGAGGTTCAAGAACAGGAGAGCGAAGAGGGCTCAGGCACAAGTGTGCTTGAGGTTCGGACAGGACCAGGAAAGGGGCGGGGCTAGGAGCGGAAGATACCAAGCAGGTGGTATCAGTAGAAGAGAGTTCGAACAAAGTGTAAGGAGTGAACAAGCGCAAGGACGAAGACCAAGTGCTTGGTATGAGCTTTATTAGCTTTTAGCCCCGAACACCAAAGAACAAGTTTTGTTCGAACTGGTGTTCAACATAGGCTCAGGCATGCAGGGCTATTTATAGACCGGGAGAAGGTCGAGGGGCAAAAGTGGGCGAGAAGGGTGGAGCATCACAGAGAAGCGAGAAGGGGGTGCGAGAGTGGCTGGTGTGCAAGCGAGAGAGGCTTGGCACAGCCCGGGGACATGTGCCGAGCGGTGGGGGAGGCAGGAAACCAGTAGACGCGGGTGGCAACGGCGCGTGCTCATGCATGGGGGCAAACAAACACGTGGGGACTCATGATTGGTGCGGAGGGCGAGAGCATGCGGGACAATCTCATTGGTCCGTTGTGATGCTGGTCATCACAGTCACGCACATATATCATTCGTGCTGATCCATGCAGATTTGCATGCGCCACGGACCAAATACAAAATGTCAAAACTCACCCGATCCGATCCAGATTCCGCCAGCGATACTTGCCACAACTCCATGTCAACCCCATCCAATCAAAGCTTGAGCGATAGCCCCGGCCGCACCCGTCGTGTCCATGTGCTTGTGCTGATCGGTGCAGATTTGCGCACGATACCAGCCGAAACCCCAAAAACATACTTGGGCCGCCACTATTTGATCTGCACTGGTGGCTGCATAGATGCGGATGCTTGCGATGTAACCAGGGTCCCCAGATAGTCCAGATCGAGGGCTTTCGAACGGTACCATTCACTCTTGGTATATGGATCATAGTCAGGGCAGTCACGTGATATATATACTGGTATCCCTGGGATTTTGGGTTTCGAACTTGCATCATTCCACACTTTGCGCGCGATCGCATAACTCACCACACAGTGATGTGTCAGCGACGAGACAACTCATTTCTGAGCCACCGCGCTGCGTAGAATCGATCTAGCGCCTCAAACAGCATGCTTTACATTGGGCAAGTGGCTCGAAATTTCGGAAAACCGTATTTTGGGGGAAATTTCGGGACATCAACGCGAACCCCTCAGGGAGGAGATGAATATATGGAGTAAGGTTCATGTCCAGACATAGTTTGAGCCGAGATCTAACTCTGGGCAAAATTTCGGTTCCCAATATTAGATATTGGCTGACATTTGGCGTTTGGAAAATTGAGCGTTTGGACATGTGCAGTTAGTGTTAGGAACGGGGCGTGGGAAACAAGCGTCAGCAAACCGGGTGGGCTCTTGACGGTGAAGACAGGGCGTGGGAATCGGAACGAGGGCAAGAACGAGGAGCAGGGGCAGGGAGCAAGGGCAAGGTACGAGAGAGTGATGATCTTATATTCAGAAAGGTGATAAGATAATTCACTGGGTGTGCTTTCCCTCTGGCCCCTGAGCTCCTCTATTTATACTTCGACCATCTAATCTATCATGTCAACGAGCTCAGCCACAGGATAAGCCACGCTGTGATCAAACAAAGTAAATGAATGAACTAATCTAACGAATGATGCAAGAGGGGCTCGATCACTATCAACCACCATGTCCATGGGGGCCATGACCAACTACCGCGCCACACCCCCAATCATGGCACGCGTCCATAACAGTTAGGGCTAACCACGCTGTGGCCACTTTTGGCGGTGCCTGCAGTGACCGAGCTCCGACAACGCACTGCTCCTCAGCTTGCATATCTAGAGTATCGCAATTAATAGCGTCGATTAGCGCATTTAACTGTGTACATATTAGATCATGATCTCTGCAAGCCGTGCACGTGGTATTCTATGACAAAGTTTGCAAACCGACAGGGTGGTGTTCTGATACTGTCATGAACACCCTCTGCCTTTGCCCTCTTTCTTCCTTTGCCTTTGCCCTTTCCTTTCTGTTTGTTTGTTTTCCGCGCTGTGTTGCCTTGTTGTCTTCCCGCCAGCACGCGCGCTGTCTGTGCTCCGTTCCCGCTTCCTTGCTGTTGGTCATGGGTTACGCCCACGACGCCGCCTCGACGCCGCCTGACGCCTTGGCGCCGCCATGCCGCCGCCACTGACGCCCGCTGACTCACGGATCCCGAGTCACGGCCGCCACCTGCTTCGCTCGCTGCTTCGCCCTCCCCGCCGCTGCTTCGCTCCTGCCCCCTCGCTCCGCAGCGTCGATCCTTGGCGCTCGCATAAATAGCTCCTCGACCAGCCTCTGTCTTTTGCCTTCGTCTTGCCATTTTGTACTTCTTGCATCCTTAGCCTTGGATCTAGAATAAAACTTTGGCTTTACACTTGACACTCTGTGTCCCAGTCCAGCCCCTTCTTCCCTCCCTGCGTTCGAGTCTTGCATTAAGACTCCTGCGTACTCCCCTGCTTGCCCCGTTGTCCAGTCTTGACAGATACACATTGATGGAATGCAGCGTCACGACCCAATGAGGCCTGATGTCCTCACAAGTTGTAATGTAGACTTATCTAAGCGTACCAGATATCCAAGTTGGGCGTCTGAATTGAATCCAACGTGATGAGTTATGGGCGAGTGATATGGCGCGGACCGGGTGATGGGCAGCGGGTGTGTGTGTGTGTGCACCACCATGACGATCTCGTGAAGGGCCGGATGGATATGAATAAAGGGATCGATATATGAAAGAGTGGGAAAATGGATCGCTGGATTCGAGGCGAGATAGTTCAATAATAGCTATTAACACAACGAATGCAGAGAAACGATTTAAACGGTAGGGAATTTTTTTCAGGAGGCCAGGCGGTGTTAGGGATAGCTCCTGCTTGCTCCCCCACTTTGACTGCACACTTGGCTGTTCTCTTGCCCTTTTGTTTGTTTGTGTGTAGCTTTACAGTTCCCCGCCAATTTTCCACCTTTGCCCGTCATTTCCGCTCCTTCCGCACTTCCGTTTTCCGGCGCTGCTCCGCTTCCCTTGTACAGTGGCTACCAAAAGTTTTCGAATTTTTTGGCGATTTGACTTTGACTGCCTGTATTTCTGTCAATATTCCCTCGTCTGCGATCAAACTTGGCAAGGACATAGCAATTTCACTTTGTCACATGTCTGTCAAGTCTTGTTGCACAAGCTCCAAATTTGGAAGGTTTGTGTGTGATCGAGTCTGACCCATGCATTCGAACACTATTGGAACTCCCAACCAAATAATCGCAGATTCGATATTTTTATTATAAAACTGCTGCTGATTTACAAGTTTAATACTTGGTAGGACCTCCCTTGGCCTTGATCACTGCAGTCATGCGTCTGGGCATGCTCCCAACCAATGGTTTACACACATCGGCACTAAGGCCTTCCCATATGGTTTTGATGTTATCGAAAAGTTCGTGAAGTCCACCCGGGGTCTCAAACTTGTTCAGTTCACACTTGAAATGGCTCCAGAGATGTTCAATGGGGTTCAAATCAGGAGATTGAGGGGTCATTCCATCACATCGGTGCCTTTTTCTTCAAACCAATCCTTGACCACCTGAGCAGAGTGGATGGAAGCGTTGTTTTGTTGGAAGATAAAGTCCTTCTGAGGAATTCCCATACTTTCTCTGCTATCCTCCATGTGCTCCTCGAGGATATCGGTGATGTAGTAAGCACTATCCATGCGTCCTTCAATCCAGGTAATGTTTCCCATGCCATGCCAGCTCATGCATCCCCATATCATAATCGACCCTCCACCGGCTTGGGCTGTAGGCTTGACCATTCTGTCGCCCAAGACTCCAGACTTGTCAGAGATCTTCTTCTAACAGTAGAGGCGACCATCGGACCCATAGCGCTTGAATTTGGATTCGTCTGAAAACATAACACGTTTCCAGTCTTCGATGGTCCAATCCTTGTGGCGATGGGCGAACTCAAGGTGACGTTTTCTGTTGATTTGAGATATGGCAGGCTTTTTCACTTTAACCGCAGCCTTGAGGCCTTCCTTCTGGAGTGCACGACGAACAGTTTGAGGGGAAAGATCGATGTTGAGTCGGGTTTTCAACAATTTTTTGCCCTGAACTGCATTGTCGATTTCACCGGAAGTAACGCTTCTGATCAAAAAACGTCGATTTTTTTTGGTCAAAATCTGAGGACGTCCTTGAGGAAAAGGTGGAAGATCTTCCTGAATGGATTTTCGATACTTGGAAACTGTAGAGATGCTGACATGGTTTGAGGTTGCAACCTTGCGAACAGACATTCCAGCCTTCAATTGAGAAATGACAACGGCTTGGGTTCCGTTGAAATTTCTTTCATTTCTAGATAGAGGATTGACTGTGAGTAAGATTACAAATTTTGAGGAAGATCGAATCACAGGGAAGCGAGAAACTTACCTCGAGGTGCTTGTTGGGTGATGAAAGTGAGAGAGTTCCAAAAGTGTTCGAATGCTCTCATTGGATTTAAATAGGGACAGAAGGATACACAGTGATTCAAATCACGTGAAATTCACGTGAACATTGGAAATTGAGTAATTAATCAATTTGCGCAGTTTGTGCGCAGTCGACGCAGTTTTAGTGGAACAGTGGCTACACAAAGCCAAAAGTCGGAAACATTCGAACACTTTTGGAAGCCACTGTAAGGACCTCAACTGGTAAACGGCTAACAACAGGAAATAAAGCGAACCCAAAGCCAGACTTGAGATCCACACGCAAGTCCTCACGGCACACAGCAAGAGGCACAAGCGTAATAACTAACCAATGTATTAGAGTGACAAGTGCACTCCTAACTACAATACAGGAGGTGAGACGAAGATCTAAACTTGTAGGCCGAAAGCGGGTTTATATCTTCGTCCGTGGGGTGGATGAACGAAGGAAGAGAAGAAAAGCGTAGTCGCTGCGGCACGGCGCAGTGATCGTGGTGCAGTGAGGGACCTGTATGAACCAGGAGGGCTAGGGCCCGGCCGGTTCATGACAGTACCTCCCCCTCTAAGGGCCGAACCCCGAGAGGCCAAGTCAAAACGGCAATCAAGCAAGAAGGAAAATAAACAAGTTGGAAATCAAGCAGAACAGAAATACGAACATCAGAGGTCATATGCGCATAATAGAATAACAGAAGAATAGAAGGCAATACTCAAGGCCAGGGTACATAACGTTTGTACTTAGGCGTGAGGGGGGAAAGGACTTGTGAGAAAAAAAATGCAAAAGGTTCGGAGGCGCATCCCCAATAGCTCCCAGTATAACCATGTATACCCTCAGAGACTAATACTATTTTTAAAGCTGACACAACGGTGCCGCCCACTATCGCAAGTCCTGGACTAAAGTCCCAAACTAAAGTTCCCGAACAAGCGACTGTAAGGTACGGTGTGTTGTATCAGGCGGAGTCGTAAAGCCATAGGATCGCTACTCCAACGTTATGCTCGCTGACCCTTCTTAGAACACTTCCCCCACGGTTAATGGAAGAAGTGCCCCCACTCAATTACTCACGGGTCAACGCGCCTGCTTGAGCGCTACCCGAGACGTCAACCTAAAGAAACCTCGTACTCCTGACATAGGCAGAGCCTGTAACATCCATCATTCTGGATGCAACCTGTCAAAACTGGACAACGGGGCAAGCAGGGAAGTACGCAGGAGTCTTAATGCAAGACTCGAACGCAGGGAGGGAAGAAGGGGCTGGACTGGGACACGGAGTGTCAAGTGTAAAGCCAAAGTTTTATTCTAGATCCAAGGCTAAGGATGCAAGAAGTACAAAATGGCAAGACGAAGGCAAAAGACAGAGGCTGGTCGAGGAGCTATTTATGCGAGCGCCAAGGATCGACGCTGCGGAGCGAGGGGGCAGGAGCGAAGCAGCGGCGGGGAGGGCGAAGCAGCGAGCGAAGCAGGTGGCGGCCGTGACTCGGGATCCGTGAGTCAGCGGGCGTCAGTGGCGGCGGCATGGCGGCGCCAAGGCGTCAGGCGGCGTCGAGGCGGCGTCGTGGGCGTAACCCATGACCAACAGCAAGGAAGCGGGAACGGAACACAGACAGCGCGCGTGCTGGCGGTAAGACAACAAGGCAGCACAGCGCGGGAAACAAACAAACAGAAGGAAGGGAAAGCACTAAGGCAGGCGAACAGAAAGGAAAGGGCAAGGGTAAAGGAAGGAAGAGGGCAAAGGCAGAGGGTGTTCATGACACTACCCCCCTCTCAAGGCCCGAGCTTCGAGAGGGCCAGGCTTCGAGGGGTGAGAGGAGTGGTAGGCAGTGACAGGCTCCGGACAATGTGCAAGATTGCTGGCGGGCTCCCAGGTGCAGTCCATCACCGTGTAGCCACGCCAGTGCACAAGATACTGGAGCTTACCTCGGAACAGCCTGGAGTCCAGGATCTGTTCGACTTCCCATTCGTCGTGGCCGTCGACTTGGATGGGTGGAGGGGGCGGGATCGTTCGACCTGGGATCTTGTCGTCGGCGGCAGGCTCGAGGAGGGAGACGTGGAACACCGGATGGATGCGCATGGACGAGGGCAAGTCCAACTTGAAAGCGCGGGAACCGACTTGAGCGACGATCTTGAACGGCCCAAGCTTGGTGTGGTCGAGCTTGGCCGTGGGTCGCTGGGTCTTGATGTTCTTGGCGGAGAGCCAGACTCGGTCTCCAACCTTGAACGGAGGGGAAGGGGAGTGGCCGGGGTCGTAGAACTTGGCTTGGGAGTCCTGGGCAAGGGCGATGTTGAACTTGAGTTCATCGTGGAGGGAGTGAATGGCTCGGGCTTGATCGTCGGCGACGGAGGCATTCTTGGTGGTGCGGGGAAGGGCGACGGAAAAACGAGGGTGGTAGCCGGTGTAGGCGAAGAAGGGAGAGCAGCCGAGGGTTGCTTGAGAGGTGTTGTTGTAGGTGAACTCGGCGTGAGGGAGAAGCTGGGCCCAGTCGTCTTGCTGGAAGTTGATGAAGCAGCGGAGGTACTGCTCGAGGATGGCGTTGACCCGCTCGGTCTGGCCGTCGGTCTGCGGATGGAAGGCAGTCGACATCTTGTGCTTGATCTTGAGGCGGGTCAGGACGGCTTGGAAGAACTTGGAGGCAAAGGTAGATCCTCGGTCTGAGACGATATCGTCTGGAAGACCGTGCTTGGTGAAGACGTGCTCGACAAACATCCGAGCAGTGTCCTCGGCGTTGGCCTCGTTGCTTGACGGGACGAAGTGGGCCATCTTGGTGAAGCGGTCGACAAACACACAGATGGCTGTGTGTCCGGAGGATTCGGGGAGCTGGGTGATGAAGTCGACCGAGACTGAGGACCAAGGGCGATCGGGAACAGGGAGCGAGGCAAGGAGTCCGTATGGCTTGTGACGGGAGTGCTTGTTCCGCTGGCAGGTGTCGCATCCGGAGACATAATCCTTGATGTAACGACGCATGGTTGGCCAGTGGAAGGTCCGGGAGACGAGCTCGAAGGTCTTGGCGACGCCGAAGTGGCCGGCAGTCGGCGAGTCGTGGCACTCGACGAGAATCTTGCGCTTGAGCTCGGGGACATCGGGGACGCAGACGAGACCTTCAAAGAGCAGAAGGTCGTTGTCGACGGAGTAGCCGGGACAGGAGGCAGGGTTCTTGAGGACTTGGGACAGGATCGGACCAAAGGTAGAGTCCTTCTTGAGGCTTGACTTGATGAGGACGGCGATATCCTCAGACTGTAAGGAGTGAACAAGCGCAAGGACGAAGACCAAGTGCTTGGTATGAGCTTTATTAGCTTTTAGCCCCGAACACCAAAGAACAAGTTTTGTTCGAACTGGTGTTCAACATAGGCTCAGACATGCAGGGCTATTTATAGACCGGGAGAAGGTCGAGGGGCAAAAGTGGGCGAGAAGGGTGGAGCATCACAGAGAAGCGAGAAGGGGGTGCGAGAGTGGCTGGTGTGCAAGCGAGAGAGGCTTGGCACAGCCCGGGGACATGTGCCGAGCGGTGGGGGAGGCAGGAAACCAGTAGACGCGGGTGGCAACGGCGCGTGCTCATGCATGGGGGCAAACAAACACGTGGGGACTCATGATTGGTGCGGAGGGCGAGAGCATGCGGGACAATCTCATTGGTCCGTTGTGATGCTGGTCATCACACTATCTCCTCCTTAAACTACGGCGTGTTCCATCTTGAGTTCTCCTGGGGCCAGGCTTGTCTGGGTAGCGTCGGTGGTACTCCGCGGCCACCGTTGGGGCAAAGACAATGTCGGCGGGCTCCCAACTTCGATCGGTGACCGGGTAGCCTTTCCAATCGATGAGATAGTGCAGCTTTCCGCGCACGAACTTGGAGTCTAAGATCTCTTCGACCTCCCACTCCAAGTTCCCATCGATGACCACCGCAGGGGGCGGCGCTTGCACCCGACCCGGAAGCGAGTTCTTCTTGTAGGGCTCAAGAAGAGACACATGGAACACCGGGTGCACCTTTATGTCCTTTGGCAAGTCCAGGCGGAAAGCCAATGTCCCGACGGCCTCGAGGATGGTGAATGGTCCAATCCTCTGGTAATCCAGCTTCTTGCTTGGGCGAGTGGTGCTGATGTTACGAGTCAGCACCCAG